TGTTCAATGTAATTAGAGAACACGTGTTTAGAGAACGCATACAGGTTCAGTGTAATTAGAGAACACGTGTTTAGAGAACGCATACATGTTCAGTGTAATTAGAGAACACGTGTTTAGAGAACGCATACATGTTCAGTGTAATTAGAGAACACGTGTTTAGAGAACGCATACAGGTTCAGTGTAATTAGAGAACACGTGTTTGGAGAACGCGTACAGGTTTAGTGTAATTAGAGAACGTGTGTTTAGAGAACGCATACAGGTTCAGTGTAATTAGAGAACACGTGTTTAGAGAACGCATACATGTTCAGTGTAATTAGAGAACACGTGTTTGGAGAACGCATACAGGTTCAGTGTAATTAGAGAACATGTGTTTAGAGAACGCATACAGGTTTAGTGTAATTAGAGAACACGTGTTTAGAGAACGCATACAGGTTCAGTGTAATTAGAGAACACGTGTTTAGAGAACGCATACAGGTTCAGTGTAATTAGAGAACACGTGTTTCGAGAACGCATACAGGTTCAGTGTAATTAGAGAACACGTGTTTAGAGAACGCATACAGGTTCAGGCATAATTAGAGAACACGTGTTTAGAGAACGCATACAGGTTCAGTGTAATTAGAGAACACGTGTTTAGAGAACGCATACAGGTTCAGGCATAATTAGAGAACACGTGTTTAGAGAACGCATACAGGTTCAGTGTAATTAGAGATCACGTGTTTAGAGAACGCATACAGGTTCACTCATAATTAGAGAACACGTGTTTAGAGAACGCATACAGCTTCAATGTAATTAGAGAACACGCGTTTAGAGAACGCATACAGGTTTAGTGTAATTAGAGAACACGTGTTTAGAGAACGCATACATGTTTAGTGTAATTAGAGAACACGTGTTGAGAGAACGCATACATGTTCAGTGTGATTAGAGAACACGTGTTTAGAGAACGCATACAGGTTTAGTGTAATTAGAGAACACGTGTTTAGAGAACGCATACAGGTTTAGTGTAATTAGAGAACACGTGTTGAGAGAACGCATACATGTTTAGTGTAATTAGAGAACACGTGTTCAGAGAACGCATACATGTTTAGTGTAATTAGAGAACACGTGTTTAGAGAACGTATACATGTTCAGTGTAATTAGAGAACACGTGTTTAGAGAACGCATACATGTTTAGTGTAATTAGAGAACACGTGTTTAGAGAACGCATACAGGTTCAGTGTAATTAGAGAACACGTGTTTAGATAACGCATACAGGTTCAGTGTAATTAGATAACATGTGTTTGAGAATTCACACTGTTTCAGTGTAATTAGATAACACATGATCGATGGTCCCCAAAAGAACCTGTTTCATCGTTCATATCATCTTGGACTATTGTGGTGATAGGTGAAAATATCTAATTTTAGTAACTTGAGACAAATCTATAAGCAAGAGGCAAGTCGCTGAAGCGAAAATTGAATTCGAAGATCACGTATTAATACTTTTATTTCGTTCAAGTGTTCTGTGCCACCAGTCTGAGATCAGATGTATTATGCGTCCCATGGTTGTTCATTCTAAACTATTTTGAGTTTTCTCGATGATATTGTTTAAATCACACCTACCGGTAAAAAGTACGTGTTTAATTACCGTATTCCTGTCACGAATGTCAGCGAGTTCTATTCACTATTCTACTCCCGTTATATTCATTATATTGTCCCTTGTAGAAAACGCTTTTCAAGCTAACGACCTTCTAGCCGTCTACATTGTCTGAACACTGGAAAACTAAATCTTTAGCATGAGAGATTCCAGCTCATTTAAAGGGCCACAATGGGTATAAGGGCGTGTAATAGGAATGGAAAAAATAAAACTAGAAATGCATTGTGTTAAATGAAAAGGAAATCTTTCATTTTAAAATGAACAAACCAGAATTGTATTAGGGTACAATAAAAACAACTTTAATATAAACAACAATAGCACTTTCCTTTTAGGGACGTCACCAGACTTCCTCGTCTCATTACCCGTGGCTCTTGTATTTTCTGTCAACTTCTTCTAATTACGTTTATAACAGTATACACCATAAATGCAAGTGTAAATGCAAATGATCAATGTCAAGCACTTTTTTCAGCAAAATCTGTCCGTCCAACAAAAATAGTATGTAGAGAAAAACACAGAAAAAATAGTACGTCACGAAGGCAAACGGTTCAATTATACCAAACTACGTGGACATTGATGCCAATTTGATTGTTTGTGTTGAACTGTTGTGTTCTTATGTCAGTCGTTATCTAAGCAGTAAATCAATGCAGTCTGCTGAATTGCGTACTGTGTATTTGTAAACCAGAGCGACAAATAATGTGCATATAAATTATACTTATTTATCTATAGGGTATCATATCTACAATTAATTATATTATCATGATAAACATAAAATAGAATTCATATAATAAACTTATGATCACTAAATATTAAGAGCTCTATTGAAAGACGATTTGGTATATATATATCAGTGTAACCAACACCCATTAATTATTGTGGTAACTTAAGGTAAAAATATGTGGTATTGGATGGGCTAAGAATACTAATATATCAGGTGTCTAGCATAATTTGGCTGTGTAACGTGGCGCTGTGAAAGTGTTAGAAACAGCATGCACGTGCCTAGCACTGAGGCCGAGAACTTCACTAACTGTTTCTCGTCAAATTTTCGGACAATCGTGCAGAGAATGAGACTGTTTATGGCCTAACGACTTTAAATGAAACTGAATTCTTCCACTTTGTTTCATACTATTTGACGAGTTTTATATTACTCGTATGATTGTTTCTTTGACAGGCCGCTCACCAATTGACAGAAGACCACATTGCTGGTAGGTGACGATTGTTTGGATGATTACAGATAAATAATGCGATATTTGGGTTATTCAAATTCGTAATTCAATTTACCTTGTGTGTGGTCGTACTACGTGTTATTCATTCGTAAAAAAACATTCCGTGCATTTCTGATTATTTGGAGTACTGGATAGACAGTATTCCCTCGTGTACTTAATTATCTATCGCAATATTACCGGACCATTCGACTGTTTTATTCCGAAATATGGTGACATTAAGCTCATATGTTCTCGAACAATGGATGTGTTGTGCGATTTATGACTGAATAATAAAATGTGATGTTTTTTTTTGTTGGTTCTCAACAAATGACAGAATTCAAAGAAGCGTTCTCGTGGTTTGACAAAGATGGCGATGGTACAATAACTGCTACTGAGCTGGGATTCGTCGTTAAGGCCCTTGGAATTCCAGCAACCGCGCAAGAACTAGAAGACATGATTGATGAAGTAGATGACGATGGTAAGAAAATACAAAGCCTTCGCTATATTTAATCAAATATTACAATGTATAAATTAGTGTCAATTGCATATAACATTAACACTATTGTGATATTATCTGCAGAATCTATAAGTATATGCTATTTGTCTATTTCATTATCTGTTTCTATCTAATGCACCGTTCTTCCTTTTCTGCACTGGCAGCGCGACTGGTAGTCGGTAAACAACCAAAAGGTAGGATCAAGTAACAAGCTTTCCACGTCTGTTCTCTTTAACTATTGTACTATTTTCATTATTAAGTTACTTGGATACAAAAATATTCTGCATGATATGTGCGCGTTGATCACAGTGAATACTAGCACGCATAGCAACTGTATTCACTGTCATTAGAGCTACGACACGTGGTAAACCAATAATGATGACAACAAGAAAACAGTTTATTCTCAGTAGGGATACTGCTACCATTTGTTTGTCAGTAGTGACAATGAGTATTGTATTTTTCCCGACGTGTGCTAAAATTATGGCAACACGTATTAAGATGTGAAGATATATTTCGCTATTCGAACATTTCAATGAAATATTCCCGCAGGCAACGGAACAATTGATTTCCCGGAGTTCCTAACTGTCATGGCAAAGAAGCTGAAAGAAGGTGACGAAGATGAACTTCAAGAAGCATTCCGGGTGTTCGACAAAGATAATGGTGGCTCAATATCTTACCAAGAATTACGTGACGTCATACGAAATCTTGGGGAAGATTTGACCGATGGTGAGATAGATCAAATGGTACGTGCAGCTGACATCGATGGAGACGGAGAAATTGATTTTGAAGGTCAGCTTTCTACATTTTTAAAATGCACAACGAACACAATTTAACGTATTTTACTAATAAATATTCCACAATAATTTTAATAAATCGGTTCGTAATGCATTCTTGTTAAAACGAGTTTGTTCTTATTTAAAATTTATTTACCACCCGTTATAGACATCTTTCGCCCCAATCACCCAATAATAATACCCTCTTATTAAAAAATAAAAAAATAAACACTCAATGGCATGATGTTATAAAATGTTTTCATAGAAGTTCGTTTCCATAATGCACAAATAATTAAATCATCATATTATTTTCACTACACTACGCTACGCTATTCTCGCAACGACCACTTTTTCAGTGCTTCCACTCCAGGCATGCTCATCCATCATTCATCTGTATTACATTTCCTTTGTATTAACTTGACGCCACGATTATTGGCAGTCAAATTTCAAAGTTGGTCATCGGTGTTTTCATTCTGTTTGAAGTGTTTCATTATAATGCATCTTGTTCTTACCGAATCTCGTATTGCTGGACATTGACAACGTCATCGTATTGGTGGGCATAATCGACACTCACATCGTCATCGCATTGGTGGACATAATCGACACTTACATCGTCATCGCATTGGTGAGCCATATTCTAATCTGACTTCATCCTTTCTACCTTATCTTTACCTTTTTTCTCTGTCTTTTTACCATTTCAGAATTCCAGGCTATGGTCATTCCTCATCCAAATGCTCCAAGAATATAACGGATATAGATTTACTACAAATGTTGTATGTCTTTTTTTAGACTTCCGCGCAATGGTGTTACCGAGAGAGTAGAACACTTGTCGTTAATGTACACGAGAAGGTCGTATTTACGGGGTTTCACATCTATCACGTGATATATGACGCACCTAGTACTGCAATAGACACAGCTTTTAGTTGTACGTCGTCAATCATTCCATAAGTTATACATTCACCAAAACCAGTTAATGAACTGAACCTTTGTTGATGTAGACCAGTCAGTACATAGTAAACACATAGTGTTTTAGTGACTCAATATAAGCATAGTTATCATTTTATATTTATATATAAACTATAAATGCTATTGCTTTTGGGCTTGGCGTGTATACATTGCCACATATGTGTGTTATATGAATATGTACTTCCACAGGCATGTATTTAGTGTTGTGTGGAGGCCAGCTTTTGTTCTATTTAACCATTATGTTTCATTTCGGCTGATCAATTTTCTATTTCTGAGGAAGATAATTTACAAGCTTTAAAGTGCAAATGCGCTAGATTTATGTTATAATTTTACGGGATTATTCTCGGTACGAAATCATGTCAACATGTGTAGTTTACTTTAATATATCGTGAATCAGCAATTTTAATTCATTCCCAAGTAGATAGTCCCACATACATCCGCCAATAAGTGTCATTACAGTTGTGTTTTGTCACGCTTTCTTAATCAACACGTTGTTGGTTACAACAACCAGATTCCAACACCTCCGAGCATTTTGTGAACCGACCAATGCTACCATGGGTATTTTGTCATGTATATTTATAGAGATGTTCATTCGTTGTAGTAGATTTCACCAATTGTAAATATGTAAAATAACACTAGATGTAATTCATATCATCATCGTTCTATATTTTATGATATTTCGCACCCTGGTGTTTACTTGGGGTTGGCGTTCATAAGAAATTTATAAAATGCAATAAATATAATCTATATAAGCTTTAAGTGAATGCAATACCGCATAGTTGTTTGCATTGTATAAATACAGTCAATTCTTTGTTGGGGTCAAAGGTGAAAGTTGTACAATAATAAAAAGTGTTACAGATCGTCGTCGTCACTTATTTTTCCCAGAGAACAATACATCAAGACACACCGATGTTGCTTGTCATGTCGGAAATGATACACCGAAATGAATGATTATTAATATAAATGTAAATCTTTTAAACGACATTAAGCACATTGGTATTTGTTGCTGCCTTGTTCCATTCAAGTGGGCGCTTTGTCCGAGCTAACCGTTCTAAGGGTCTAGCCTGTGTTTTAAGAGTGGGTCACATTTTGCTCGTACTTGCTATTTCTTAGCATATACTAAGTGTTTGCGCATGATTTCTTGACACGGGCTAACGTTTTTAATCACATAGCCCGTGGCAAGAACCTGTGTATGTAACTATCATCTCTTGAGGTATAGGTCATCCTTATTATATGGAATGAAATCATCGAAGTGTTCTCTCCTATACTGGTTACACGTCACTATAGTAAACAGGGTAAATTAACGTATTATATGTATTATGTACATTTTATTACTCATTATAAATGTTAGATATTGTTTACAATTCTACAGTATATTTTGGACCAATAAAATAGGATTTGAATAATTTCTTGTCGGTTTTTGTATAACTATTATGTTAATATTGAAAAACAAAAAAGAGGCACAACATCATCGAGTGTGCAATCAAAGCGTCCATAAGCTTATAGCATGGTTAAATGAGGCACCACGAACAATTTGCATGAATTATTTTCTGTCATCAACAACAATAATGTGATAGCACGTTTCGTTTCATGGATTGACCAGAATCTGGACAATGTTATCTCTTCCATAAAACCGTCTCTCCCGACTGCGAATGTTAAACAAAATGGAATCAACTTGTGCTATAGTGTCACAATGATCGGCTACACATCCTATTCGCATTATTCAGATAGAGTCGCCGAGATAACTTGAATAACGAAGGCATCTAAGTGTTTGGTAAATGTAACAAGTGATTGGAGGTTTTGAGGATGTCACAAAATGGGAATACATCCTGTAAAATGATTCACAGAAATAAACCAGTGTACTCATCCTCTGATTTGAAGACACAAACAAAATATGTCAATAATAATAATAATAATAATAATATTGTTTAGGTACAACCCGTAGGAGCATTTAAGCAAAACAATGTATCGCATGGCGACATGCCACGCACATTTTGTCCCTTACTATAATGTTAATAACGCGTGAATTTGTCATTGCATGTGTTGCTCATCATACGATGCATAGATATCCATGTCACGTAGGTGCTTTTAATGCAAGCGTTTGAAGAGACTTTCACCGGCCATGATGTGTACGAATTCTGAAACAAACAAAAAATAAATATATTCAACAATCATTTTATTGTGTCTAACGCCTGAATACGATACGTGTATTGCCTGTAATGTTCATGTTGACCCACATGTTTCCTACAGCTACTCATACTACGTGTCGTTCCAAAGTAATCGAAGACATCAGCCAATAACAACACTAGAATTTGTTGCACAGTTACATAGAAACAATGCTTGATACGATACAACCCCCCCCCCTCAAGATCGTCACATTAAATATACGTACAAGCGAATCAATATTGATATGAATTTACTCGCATATCCCAAACTTAGTAAATACGTCTTATACTACATTGTACATTTTCAATCAGGTATCAGGGGGAAGATCTTCCTCCACGGGGTTCCTCCACACTTGCCAGGGGGGAATCTCGTCTCGTCTCTATATCTCGTCCCCTTGAGGTACGGGATCGGGGAAGTCACTTATACTTTACAGTCAAATAAGAAACACACAACGAAATACGTTTCAGCTCTCGTCTTAGTCGGTCAATCGAGCACTCTATAAGACACGGCGCCCTGGGGAAAAATCCCCAAGACTATCGCAAGGCTGACCCAAGACTCTCTTAGACTGCGTCAACACTCGCCCCAAGGCTCTCCAGGACTGCACTACGACTGCCCAGGAGTGCGTCTATCGTGGAGTACTCGCCAAGACCAACTCAAACTCTCTTTATTCATTTTCAAAACTCTAACTAATTACAAAACAGTAAAAAGACTCTAGGGCGTAACCTTCAATCTTAAAGCCAATCACACTAAGCACTGAATACGTCATATTGTTTGATTAATCGTTCACTACATTAATAACTATGAATATAAACTGTCAGAATGATTAGTCTGAATAGCGGCGGTTATCTGGTAATTAGTTCCAAATCACTGAGCCAAGTTCCGTCCAAAACTTCAAATAGGCCTAAACGATGACAGACATAACACAGCAATTCAGCTAATAATCAGCTAATTAAGTCGGTTAACAGATACGCAAAAACAAATTCATGACACAGGACACAAATTGTAAACCCATCCGCGCGCTGCATGGCTCAACTATGCGACCAATATTTGTACACAAAATAGTGAAGCTTACCTTCGTAATTAACATGACCATCTCCATCAATGTCCGCTTCTCTTATCATTTCATCTACTTCACCGTCAGTTAATTTCTCTCCTAGATTGACCATAACGTAACGTAACTCTGCTGCGCTGATTAACCCATTACCGTCCCTGTCGAATACTTTAAAGGCTTCGCGTAATTCCTCTTCAGGATCAAGTTCCTGCTTCTTTCGAATCATCATCTCAATGAACTCGTTGAACTCAATAGTTCCATTGCCTTTTCAGAAAACAACAACAAAAAACGAAATCACAAAATACATAAGGGAAGAGGGCGCTATAATTGGTTTGGGGAACTCATGCGTTGATACGTTTATTGTATGTATATAATAAACACAATGTAAATAAAAGGAGGGCTGATCTCTTACCGTTTTCGTCCACGTCACTAATCATGTCTTTAAGTTCAGCTTCTGTTGGATTCATTCCCAGTGATCGCATGACTATACCAAGCTCTTCTCGCGTTATGGCACCGTCCCCATTCTTGTCGAACATTGAAAATGCCTCCTTAAATTCTAGGAGAAAATTAACAATTACATTAACTATATATATATATATACATTTATATATATATATTATTGTGCCATGTGAAGGGTTACTACTCAGTTTTTCTCATATATTTGTTATCGGATTTTTATTACCAGAAAAACGCCATCGGCCCTAAGAGGTTAGTACATATCACAAGATTATTCTTTTTTTTCCAGTTACAATAATACTTCAGTGGCATCCCTTCTAAACTTAAACGCCTGGTACACAAAATCTGCAACACGTTGTAAAAGTGATTCATTTGGGGTTGTAAGAAAATTATAAATTTAATATCTGTCGGCGGAGTAAAATAGAAATGTTGTATATAACGGTTTCTGATTTCTTGGTAAAAATTACATAAAAGTAAAAAATGTAATTCGTTTTCAATTACATTTAGATCACAAAACTCACATAAGCGCTGGTTTCTCTCAAAAGAACTCCGCCCTCTCTCTATTCTTAGACAATGGGATGAACAACGTAACCGTACTAAAGCTTGTACATGGGTATTGACTTTAACAGATAATAAATATATTTCCGGCTCAAGGGTAGATTTAAAGAAACATGTGTATCTAGTTTGTCCAATGAGCAGATATCTGCCCTCACTCACAAGTTAAAAGAACCTTTACATTACTGACTTCATGGGCAAACCAAACCTCAGTCATATCGTAAAGTAAATTTCTAACATCATATAGTGGAATCTAACCACCTTCTTTTATTGTTTTCCTCCCCTTGTTACTAGCGTTACAGATTGGAAGTAGCATTTACACGTAACCCAAAGGTGGGAAGGAGTCAAAGCAAATTTAGCTGGTTAGGAAATTGTAGTAATTCTTTTAACAATTCAATTTCTTCTCTTTCTGTCAAAAGTAAGCTTATTGAAATTGTAGAATCACCTGACATCAATATTAATTAATGTATACATATTTTACAGGGGTGCTGAAGACACCTGCAGGAAAAAGTCGTGTGACATCTTCCAATTTTGGGTGTAAGCGTGATCAACCGATATGGTTTGACAGCACATGTAAAAATTCTCAAAGTGCGAAAATATCAATTGTTACGGAGATTTTGGCATACAAACCACCCTGACCATTTGAGAGCTTATCGGAGTGCGCGCAACACATTTAAATACACTTGCCATGAAAGAAAGCAAATTATCTTACATGGATACACAGGAAGCAAACATAATGACTTTTACAAACAGTAGTAAACAGTTATGGTCCACGATTAGAGGCATTTTTTCGAAAAATATCATCATTTTATGGGGTGATTATTTTAGTAATCTCTATTCTATCTCGACAACAAATGATGTGTTTATTTATAACACTGAATTGTTAAGTTATTTGGAATCAGTTGATACCTTTACGTATGACAGGGAAATTGACTTAAATATTTTGAATGGCCAAAACACAGAATCGAAAATTACTGAAAGTATCAAACATCTAAAATAATAAATCCCCTTCTTGGTGATTTTTTAAAAGTAATATTCAGATTCTGTTTCCATACTTAATACTGCATTTTAATAAAGTATTTGATTCTGGTGTTGTTCCAATTGAGTGGTCAAAGGTGATATTCGTTCCCATTTATAAAAAAAAATGGCGCAAAAAGTGATCCAGGTCATTTAATAGAGCGATATCGCTACTTAGTATTTTAGTAAGTTTTTTTTATTCATTTTAAATGCACGCTTAACTTTTTGGGCGAATGCCTTGGGGAAAATCGACGAGGCACAGGCTGAGTTTAGGCATGGTTATTCGACATTTGATAACATCTATATACTTCAGTCCGCAGCTCAAAGGCATATTACCAACAAACGTTGTAAATTATACTGTGCCTTTGTCGAAGATTGTGGTATGTTTTGCTCAAAGGGGGTGTCAACGGGAAGATGTTTAAAGTATTACATAATATGTATGCAAATACCAAATCGTGTGTTAGGACTATGAATGGAAATCGGATTATTTTAACTGCCCCATACGGTATACAGTATTATTATTATTATTATTATTATTATTATTATTATTATTATTATTATTATTATTATTATTATTATTATTATTATTATTATTATTACCTCAATTTAGTAATTTTGTATGATACTGGGTTACTACAGTTATCCCCACAGAAGCTTTTTTTGTATTTGTTTTCTTTTCGGTAACTATACACGACGTGCTAGGTTACAGTCATTCTGTAATAACCAAGCTGTTATAAAGGTGGATATGAATTAATGTTATCCTGTGTTAGCTCATAAAAATCGGCGCTTTATGGTGTAATAAGCCGCAGGGTAAGTGCTAGGAGACGACCTCTGCGTTCTTATAGGATCATTGTTTAGTACTATTGTCGTTACTATGTTCAGTATTTACTCCTACTGGAAACTAGCGTTAATTATAACTGCTAAGAATAATTCACCAATTTCCAAATAACAAACTGCCGGGAAATGAATTTTGAATGGATTTTGTTTTCTATACAGCCCTACCAAAAACAACAAAATAGGCCCAAGCACGGTAGTGACCAGTGCAAGATTAGTGTATGTTTACGAGGCACTAATTGTTTGTTTGGTAATTTATGGCAACGTGCTGTGACTTATGACACCCAACTGACTGAGGCAATATTAATAAATGCTGAACACATCAATACTTTCTTGCGTTTAGTGTAGAACCACATTTCCTTCAATAGCAACTTACCTGCAAGTTCCTCTGGCGTCACCGCCTCCTCTTCTGACTGCGGATTAAAGACAGAGAGGAAATATCAGATGAATGGGGCTATTGAACAGGAAAACACGCGCCTTGTGTATGAATTCTCTCTTTTTGAAAAGCGATAACCTTTAGTCCGGATGAATGAAACAAACAACTTCATTCATTCATTTATCCCAATGCATTCATGCATGTACTGTGGCTTTCAACTCTAAAGCACTAAATTGAGTGTTTTATCGCACTGCATTAGAGTCTCCTTCTTCATTACATCGATGTTCTATCATAACTAACTGTAATCTGATCAATAATTATACCATATATAAATAACAATACAACAATTGCATAATTTGCTAATGTGATATCTCCATAGTTTAAGGGTGGACAACCCACAGCGTAATCTACACCTGGAAATGAGTTGAACGTTGTGAGGATGAAAACGGCACAACATATTTAGCATGTCGTCTCTTTTTGTGCAGACTGAGCTAATTTAGAGCAAACCACGTCGTTAAATCTGGTACTGTAGAAGCCAATGACAACATTAGATGAAGTTCAAGTTGATCAATTACAAAAACTTGTGCATGTGTCTATGTTTGACGGTGGAAATAAATGAACTTATACGGTTTACTCACCATCGTTGAGGTATCCAAGAGTGATTATAGAGGAAATTCGAATCTGCTTCCAAACATCCGTTGTTTAGGTGGTTGTTTTTATTATGGTTCTGCGCATACTTGTGCCTGTTCCTAAGACTTCGTTGACAAAAAAACTCACAAAGATTCTCCAATGTTTAAATTAGAAAGGATTGACTGCGCATGCGTACAACTATTTTCCTCAGCTGTGCCCTGCGGCCGTCACGCTTTTGTTTCCTCTGTGTATGTGTCTACTGAAGCATGGTACATTCTGGTGTTTACAACCCGTCGCATATACTGCCAGACAGTACAATTGTTTGTATGTATTTTATTATATAATATGGCGCCTAAATTTATCTTCAGATGTGACATGTCTCGTTTCTATTATATTTAAATGCGTGATCATTGGCAAAGGCACTAAATAGTGTTGTCATTAAAAGGAAGGTTCTATTGTATGTCAATAACAAAGGTTTGCTAATTTCAACTGAAAACATTCAGTGAGACCATGGCAATTATCACTTACTTTAGTATCAGTATGTTCATGAAAACAATCGTACACAGTTGCATGAGACTGAATTTTGGATCTATTGATCTAAGTTTCTTTCTCTGATATCTTCAGATATGCAGTGAACTCAAATTATGTGTGTCAGCACCAAGGGCCAACTCGGGTAGAGCTTGGTGCCCAAATTTTTTATAACTTCTTTCGCAGACCACATTTACCTACATGCATCAGTAGTATGTTAAAGCCCTGAGTGTGATAAATCCGGACATTCCTGTTTCTGTTTTCAGAGTATTGTATATTGAATACGTTTATATCAATGGCGTTTTATGGTATGTATTGTATCCAACCATGGGTCTGCAACGACTCATGTCCTAGACTGGTGGTACAGTGGTGTGCGTCTTCGCAACGTGGAACGTCTTGTGACGTAGCTCCGACCCCGAGGATAGCTGGGATAAGTGTATACAGCCAAAACAAAGTCAGTTTGGACGTTCAGTTGTGATACATGACAAAATAAACGGTGCCAGCGATAGATTTCGAGTATGAAAGAACAAAATAAACGCAATCAAAGGCGCCGACCACGCGCGTTGGAAATAAATAGCACACGTTGCGACGTGAAATCTCACCTGCATCTTTCACTCACGCAAATGCACACACGCATGCTATTTCCGTATATTGAATACGTTGGCAACGGAAGGGACAAGTTTAAATCATCTTTGTATTAACACAACTTGAAAGCAACAGTCTCACACTGAATATATGTTTATAAATTATCAAACTAAACATTCAATGAAGCGGACTGTGACGGTTAAGACGAAAAGACAAGGCGAAATGAAGACGAAAAACATGTGACAATACGATTATGCTCGTCTACTACATGCCCCGGGACTACACGTTCAAGTATCCAACTTCCCAATACAAAATTTTTTTTAGTATCAGCAATAATTTCTAGTACTGCCTGGATAATTGCGTATTATTACTTTACATCAGACATAACCCTGTACAGGATTTTTTTAACAATGTCTCAAATTTCCGAAAGAATAAGTTGGGATGAAAATGAATTGAATGTCCATCTTTTAAAAATCGGCTAAACAGTTCACCACCACGATTATGGTGAATTGGCGAGTTATCAACAGAGACGACGGGACGTCTACGATCGTGAGCTGGCTGGTTCGAATTTATCCACTTTTACAGTGATGAATATTGCGTTCGAGTTGAGTTACTTGTAATTACAAGGTTGATTTACATTTTTCTTGTGTTTTTTGTCAATGTATTAAATATAAGTGCGTTGGGAAATAGCATAAATATATTGCGTCAGTGAAAGGCTGGTGAGACTGTGTTACAAGGCGTTCTATTTATTACCAACGCGCTTGGTCGGCGCCTCTGATTGCGTTTATTTTGTGTTTTTATTTTCAAAATGTATCACTGGCTGCGTTTTTTTGTTACGTCTCGCAACTGAACGTCCAAGCTGACTTTGTTTTTGCTGTATTTCTTACAGAAGGCCTAAAACCACACTATTAACCTCAGAGAAGGTTTAAGACAACACTGTAAACCCTCTACGAGTTCGACATGCATTCCACTACGACAATCACGTTGGTGCACAAAACAACTTTTAATACTTTTAATACATCATGATAGGCGTCCATGGTTATTGAAATATTGTGAACTGAATAAGTTGGGAAAACCAGCTTGTGAAAATATTTTATTTGAAGTTTTTCAGAAATGTCAAGTCGACCAATACTCAGACCTACAGAGCATCAACCCCAACCGGATCACATAATACTTGGGCTGAGCCTAAGTGTGTTAATTTCAGATGGGAAATACCATACCAATCAGAGGTCCGAGATCTCATGCTGTAAACAATCTTCGCTGATGCAATTCTCGTTGAGTACTTCCCATGTTTTGCCACTGAGGGCAGCATTGTATATCAATTCTCCAACTAAAAAAGATGGTCAGGGAAAGGGCGTTACTTTCAACTTCAGGATTTCTTACAAATAATACATATGTAACGTATATATGTACTGGTAATCTGATTTATTTACAAGGCGACGAGACATGAGTATTGTAGAAGATAGTTAATATTAACTGAAATATGTGGTAATATTATTTCTTGATGATATAAATCTAATACTAGTACTACCGTCGTGTACCCGGAGCCTTCATATACGAATGAGGTCAAGGCACAGATCTGAATACGCATACGGACTGATCCATTTCACACCAGACTTTTATAAATGAATACAGTTTGCTTAGAAGGACGATAATGTATTACATCTGTTTGTCTATCTGTTTGTGAATAGTTCTAATCGAGGCGGTTGCGTGTCATGGAATGAGGACCATGATTTATGTAGTTAAATTGCAATTGACAATCAAATGACGTAGTGTGCTGCATTGGTATGCTACTGGTATGGTACATTCTCAGAGGTTTAACAATCTGAATGTTTCAGCATGCTGACTATTTCCCCATCTCCATACAATGCGCTAAATGTGAAAATCCTGCGCATTAATAGTTGACTAATATATAGTTTATGTACATCTCATTCAAATGCACATGGTATGCACATGCACATCATCATCATCACAAGTATCTCGGAATTTTACATATTACAAAATTGAAAGCATTTTTGGTAATATGCCCATAACAGAAACTTTGTCTTTTATATTTCAAACGATGAAGCTGTGTTCATTGTTGGTGATATGCGGATTACGAGTGCATCTGTACATCCTTTGTCGTTAGAGGGCGATCTACTTCAAACACTTTCTTCTCCCATCATCTTCACAAAATCTAAAAAGAATGAAGGAAATAAGGTATTTACTGACTACAACAATTCTCTTTGCAAAGAGACATTTATCACATGGGCCACGACAAAATTTATTGCAAGTAACTTATGACATCACTTGATCTAAATATGTAAAGATGAAACTCTGTTTGTTATTACCTTGGAAACTCACAAGTCCATCACCATCAGCATCAGCTTCTTTTATCATCTCCTCTCCTTCTTCCTCTGTCAATATCACACCCAAACTTTTCATAATGTGTCGTATTTCCTCGTTTGAGATAAACCCGTCATTATCTTTGTCAAATACTCGAAATGTTTCTTGGAGTTCTTTGATGGGGTCAACGTCTTTTAACCTTTTCATCCTTTTTGTCATCATATCAATGAATTCATCAAAATCAATTGTTCCATCGCCTAAGACATATTAAGGTGGAATGCTATTATTTGATGTTATTGAAATGTATCATTCGTTGCTACTAGTACTGACTACTAACACTCGTGGTGGCGTGCTCGTTGACTACATTGATATACTATCATAGTTAGATGTTTCAGTGTAACATCTTCAGTTGTGCTAATCTCCTTGTAAATGTCACTCGGTTACCATGGCTACGCGTCATGATTAACTACAAGTATACTAATGTATACAATTATTATACTATAATATACGATTCTTTGTCATGAACTTTAAATGTTCGAGTTTATATCCAGGGTTCTGTCAGATATTAAGGTAATGAACCTAATATGGGTACATCGTGCACAAATATATTCACGTCAAAGAACATAAAATAGTCACGATTTCCTGAATATACTAGTATTATGATTTCATAAAATTCCGTAGAATATGTTTTAGAACATATTTAGAAAAACAAATTCCCCACAATCCTAATTCGGGTTATTTTATTTCAAGAGTAATTTCGAATTGTTATTGAAATATGATTGTTTGCCATTGCCACTGATAAACAAATGCAACTTGTTTCGCAGTTCTGTAACCATTGGTCTTTCATTCTTTATATCGTGAAGCATAATAAGACTCAGCTGTTAGCGGTTTGACAAGTGCAAGGTCACTGTTACTACTACCATTATGGCAATTAGATGAATGCCACACTAATAGCGACACGTGTAGGTAATATGGGTGAAAGTGGAATATACGATATCAGTGACAAGTGTATTTAAGACCGAGTATTCATTAAAATTAAGTGAATATATATTACCTTGTGAAATCGATTCATTTGGGGTTTCTTTAATTTGAATCAAATGAATTTTTCATTTTCAAAGAACCAATTGAAGGCTGTTGAAGGTTCAACAACTATATTCCGTTTATTCCCAAAAAATCTAAATATTATTTAGTAAATTATTTATTTTCTTGTTTGTTTGTTTGTTTGTTTGTTTGTTTGTTTGTTAGTTACTTAGTTAGTTACTTAGTTATTTATTAAGTTTTTAGAAATGCCTGGATTCAATGAGATTGTAGGTTAACCGATAACCGATGAAATATTGCGTGGTGCTATTCCCCTTAGCCTAATGCCGGTGTCATGACGTCAATCCATCGAATAATTCATGGCGTTAATTAAAATGTGTAAACAACTGTGCATGATAGGCATTTTTCCATTAACTCATATTATATGCTAATATTTTACTAGGAACGATGCTGCTTTCTGTGACGTGTGTTGTTTATGCACGTATGCACCTAGCAACGGTAAATCGTGAAATTTACCACGAGAAAGGAAACGAGAAAGGCAGAAATATCACAGTAGGGTTTCCATCGCGTCTAATGTACGTTGCTGTGGAATGTTAAGTAGATAAGTTGACCGGATCTTTTGATTGATTCACCTACTTACAAAATAAGCCAAAGAAGGTTGAAATATAACAAAACACCGAAGAGTGAATTTCAATTTCAATTTTGCAAACTCTGTAAGTATCCAAAATACTGCTACACAGTACTGCGAAATAAATAAGCAAGAATTTTGACAAATAAGTAATGCACCCGTTTTTGTCTTTTGAAAAGTGTATATAATAATATACACCTGTAATGCTATCCAGACAAAACGTACTAGACGCAAAATACATTCGGACAAAACCTCCCAACAAAACACCCCCGAACAGAATACATTCGGACAAAACAACTAGACAACAGTTTTTTTTACACTGCGTTCGTTCATCTAAAATGAGAGGTATTCTGTTCGTGTCTGGTTTGTCCAAAGGTATTGAGTGCCGAATAGAGAAGATTCAATGTGACTGTGCGTTAAGGGACAAACTCACCGTCGGCATCTACTTCATTGACAATATCCTGGAGTTCTGCTTCCGTTGGATACTGTCCAAGAGATCTCATTACAATACCCAGCTCCTTCACGGTTATACTGCCGTCACCATCCTTGTCGAAAAGGGCAAAAGCTTCCTTCAAATCTATGAAACGGAATGGTTACAATTCGAAATATCTATTGAATCGCAAAACCACTATTATTTGAGTCAGTGCAGGTGAATTTACAATACTACTTGCATATTGGATTCCTACTTATATCTGTATTTAAATATTGCATTCATGCCAATGTTATGGTATATTTATTTTTTGTACCACAAATATTGTGCAAAATAAAGTAGTTTATTTGTTGTAAATTGTTCAGTTGTTGGCAACCGTTGAAATCTCATTAGAAGTATGTAAATACTGACCCGCTATCTGCTCCATTGACAATTCATCATCCTGGATGACAAAAGAAATAAAGAAGACAATGATTACAATAGACGCGGTTTCATCTCCCGATAGCAGACAACACAATGGGCGGCATTGATGACGTCTTCAATAGGGTTTTTTTAACAATAGTTCAGTATGTTGAACCCATAAAAAGAAAGTACCTTCAATTTTTGAAAACAGGCCCGTTTAAAACACTGCGATAAAACGTCGTTGGATTATTTCATAGCAACATTTAAGGTCACTATTGCCGGAAAGGTTCACACAGATGTCAATAGTGATGATATTTTAGACGTATATATCCATGAATGTTTGTAATTATATTTGAAATAAACAATATACAAGTACACTACTAGCTAGCGTGAGTAAGGATATTCTCTTACCCACGGTACGGGTCATACTGTATTTCAAATAAACAATCATATGTGTTTGAGACGACAAATGACTTCAAGTACTCTACCACAGCGGAATTTAACTCCTTAACTCCTGTATGATGACTGTTAACCATAGTCTTAGTTGTAAATAGCCGACATAGTTACGAGGACAGAATTGCATAGCAACAGGTCATTACTCAATTCGACTTTATACAGTTCAACGTACAACGCCAAAGCGGGCGGGTTAGACGTGATATTTAAAGAAATTGCCACCAAAGCCATCTAACTGCCGACAACCACAGAGGCGACCTGAGGTATAATTGGACAGAACCTAACGTAGTAAACATTTCATTTGAGTAAAGTTCAATGTTTATATTTCAAAAATACAACGTAATGTAAATGAATAATGTATGTGAACCACGTAATAACTATGAGTACTATATTCACACCTACCATAGCAGCGGATTGTTGGTCCGACTCCTTCTTGTCAAACTCCGTGACTAGGCTGCGATATTGTGACATAGCGATGATGATGATTGACGGTGGAATTCCAGATAATTTGAAATTAGTTACACTAGGTAGCTAGGACTATGTTATGTAGCCACAAGGCATGCTAACTGATTCTATGTTATGTCTCCCTTAAACTCGCTTCACTGGTGAATCACAATAGAGATCACACCCACTTCGTAAGTAGGGCAACAATAGTCAAGAAACGACTGTCAAATTACAATAGTTTATAAATGTTAGGAGACAGAGGGCGTAATGTTAATGTGAAATGTGCTACATTCATCTTCTTTCACGTAAGAAGTATTTGTTTGTTTATTTATTTATTTATTTTAATTCGCTCTGCAGAAAATGATAGCGTTATCTTTTCTGAAATGATGATATTTATGTACCTATCTATACCCTGTCTTGGGCTCTGTTTTACATATCACCGAAATATTCGTGTATGCATACATGTTTTGATCCAATCATGGAGGTGAACGACATGTTACCTCTATGATTCAATACATTTTATTTTACTTCGAAAACATGGAAATGTGTGTATTTACCTTCTATGCACTTGTCACTAGTAGCAAACCGGGCATTAATGCGGCGATATTTCTAGATCGAGAATGTGTAATGAATCAGGAAAAGTATACCTCTCTAGACTGGTAATTTGTAATCGTTGTTCCTATCCCCAAAAGAACAACACGTGTACGCTCGTATATAATGATTTAAGTTTCGATAATGTTATTGCAGATTTACGATAATGACAAATACCATTACTACGACATCTTAGAGTTATCGTAATACAGGGAATAGCAATCAAACATTTTCATTCATTACAACGTGACATGTGCGCGCCAGCAAGCGGTTAAATAATATGGTAGACGAGATACAAACCATCATACTGAGCGCCCTCAAAGGCAACATGACTGACACGATATACAAGCGACATCAGCTAATACGACAAATCACAATTACACTACATCTAAAAGTTATTATACGAAGAAAAAAAACAATCTATTGGAGAGGAAAGCGAAGATGTGATAGACGAAAATGAAAGTTATTATGACATGGCGGTGGTTCGGCTATATTTTTGCAGATTGATACACAGAATGATTACAGTATTTTGACACAATTACAAGGTATAATATTGACATATTTGGTCTATTGAAAACATCATGTTTAGTACAGTATATTATAGATATATTTAATCTACTGAGTACGTCGTATTTACATTTTCGGTCAACTGATAACGGCGATTTCTACGTCAGCACTTTCAAACTTGCTATATGAGTAACGATATATACTTTTGCCCAGTTTTGCATGAATTGATGTTATTTGATTATTTTTTAGTTACGATATGACAGTATCAATTTCTTTATTTTGTGCAATATTTCTTTCTTTGAGCTTCATGTAAAGATGTGAATTTACTATGTAAATTGCTTTTAACTGCGTAATAAAAAACAGCAATGAATAGCGATATGTGTTTCCGATTCCCACGTCAACACGTACACACTTGCTATATGAGAGGCAATATATGTCTCCGATTTTCACGTCATTATGTACACACTTGATATATGAGTAGCGATATGTGTCCCCGATTCTCACGTCAACATGTACACATTTGCTATATGAGTAGCGATATGTGTTCCCGATTCCCATGTCAACACGTACACAATTGCTACATTAATAGCGATATGTGTTTTCGATTCCCATGTCAACATGTACACACTTGCTATATGAGTAGCGAAATGTGTCTCCGATTTCCACGTCAACATGTACACACTTGCTATATGAGTAGCGATATGTGTCCCCGATTCTCACGTCAACATGTGCACACTTGCTACATGAGTAGCGATATGTGTCCCCGATTCCCACGTCAACATGTACACACTTGCTACATGAGTAGCGATATGTGTCCCCGATTCCCACGTCAGCATGTACACACTTGCTATATGAGTAGCGATATGTGTCCCTGATTTCCACGTCAATACGTACACACTTGATATATGAATAGCGCAATGTGTCTCCTATTCCCACGTCAACATGTGCACATTTGATATATGAGTAGCAATATGTGTCCCCGATTCTCACGTCAACATGTACACATTTGCAATATGAGTAGCGATATGTGTCCCTGATTTCCACGTCAATATGTACACACTTGCTATATGAATATCGATATGTGTCCCTGATTTCCACGTCAACATGTACACACTTGCTATATGAGTAGCGATATGTGTCTCCTATTCCCACGTTAACATGTACACACTTGCTATATGAGTAGCGATACGTGTTTCCGATTTCCACGTCAACATGTGCACATTTGATATATGAGTAGCGATATGTGTCCCCGATTCTCACGTCAACATGTACACACTTGCTATATGAGTAGCGAAATGTGTCTCCGATTTCCACGTCAATATGTACACATTTGCTATATGAGTAGCGATATGTGTCTACGATTTCCACGTGAACTCGTACGCACTTGCTATATGAATAGCGATACGTGTCCCCGATTTCCATGCCAACACGTACACACTTAAAGCTTGTTATATGAGTAGCGATATGTGTTCCCGATTCCCACGTCAACACGTACACACTTGCTACATGAGTAGCGATATGTGTCTCCGATTTCCACGTCAACACGTAGTACACATTTGATATATGAATAGCGATATGTATCTCCGATTTCCAGGCAAACACGTACACACTTGCTATATGAGTAGCGATATGTGTTCCCGATTTCCACATCAACATGCACACACTTGCTATATGAGTAGCGATACGTGTTTCCGATTTCCACGTCAACATGTACACATTTGATATATGAGTAGCGATATGTGTCCCCGATTCTCACGTCAACATGTACACACTTGCTATATGAATAGCGATACGTGTCCCCGATTTCCATGCCAACACGTACACACTTAAAGCTTGCTATATGAGTAGCGATATGTGTTCCCGATTCCCACGTCAACACGTTCACACTTGCTACATGAGTAGCGATATGTGTCCCCGATTTCCACGTCAATATGTATACACTTGATATATGAATAGCGATATGTGTCTCCGATTTCCACGTACACACTTGCTACATGAGTAGCGATATGTGTCCCCGATTTCCACGTCAACATGTACACACTTGCTATATGAGTAGCGATATTTGTCCCCGATTCCCACGTCAACATCTACAAACTTGCTATATGAGTAACGATATGTGTTTCCGATTCCCACGTCAACACGTACACACTTGCTATATGAATATCGATATGTGTCCCTGATTTCCATGTCAACATGTACACACTTGATATATGAGTAGCAATATGTGTCCCCGA